TTGTCCCTCATGTAATCCATATTTGACTTAAAAACAACAATTTAAAACTTAACAATATTTTTCAATTTCAAACTTCAATATATATTTTATTAAAAATAATTGTCTGAGGAAAATTCGATTTGAAAAATAAATATTTTAAAAAAATGCATAAACAATCCAAAATTAATTATGTTGTCCGAAGTCCCAAATACAAGTAGTAGAAATAATCCAAAAATAAAAATATGAACAAAAATCCGAAATAAAAATCTCATGCTAAATGTATCAATTTTTATCTAAAAATGATGTAGTTCTCCAAGTACCGGATCTCCTAAGTACAAGTATCTAAAAGAAAAACTATGGAGGTGTAAGCTAATAAGCTTAGTGTGTCACTAAAGTGAAAACAAACATAAGTCATAGCATAATCAGAACCAACCAATATTAATCATAGTCTGAATCAAATAGTGATAATCATAAATTTGAATGTTATGCAAATGCTTATGTATCCATCCATACTCCTATCATACCATTCGTAGAGTGGGTTCCCCAGAACCACACTATCTACAATCAAATTACACCATATAAAGTAAGGTCCGCCACAAAGGTAGAGGCCACTGAATTCGAAAGTGACATCACCCCATCAAGTAAATGCACTAAACTTCTCCTATCAAAATATGTCCCAATATGACATGCAAATGACATACATATCCAATGTATGATCTGATCCAAATAACAATATTTCATGAACATATATTCTGAAGCATATATTCTGATTCCGATAATGCGTCACATTCATATATTATGTATGCACAACAATATTCCAATTTCAACAGTTCAACATGTATCACATGACATTTTCACATTTATCTCAATCAATTTCACAGACTAACATTCTTTCAAATAAATTTTAACCAAACAAGCCATTAAGCATTCAAATAAAATAATGTAGCATTGAATAATGAGGCACACTTCGATAAATAATTAAGGACGATAATATCCTTTTCTATGATCAGCTCGAACAGCAAACTGAATCAGTGCCGATGGTAAATATTTAATAATTAATTTAACACTCTAATCTTAACAACAAAGTCAAACAAACTAAATACACCCAACCATCATTCACGATCGACACGAACTGCGCGTTTCATTTGAAATTTCCTGTAAAATTTACGTCCTAATCAAAACCCATTTCGATAATTCCATATCACAAAATAGTAATTTACAATGAATAAATAAAATAATTTCATATTGTTTGGGATGTTGACAGCGGGTTCGATTCAAATATAAATTCTGTCAGTACACCCGAGGGAACTACCGATGAAGAGGATGCACCAGCAGCAGGTTCCCATGGGTCAAGGGTGTTGTAACACCCTAATCCGATCAGACCTGAAGATCGAAGGACTAAAGTATTACACGAACCACTGAAATGACTTACCCAAATTTTGTTCCCTTAAAATCATGTGAAATTTATAGTAAATAAACCATCCATGAACACAATAAGGTAAAACATAATAGTTTAGTTTACAAAATAGGGAGTACCTAATGATAAATCTCCAATAATATTAAAGTTTAAACATAGTTATGACTTAAATTGATACAAGGTCCATACAATACATGCCTTCTAATAGACTCAAGACATACTCTAAAAAAATGGTTGATTTAGAATGTGTATGCGCAATAGGCTCCTCGATCCTCTACTGACCTGCGCACGGAGACAAAATTTCGAACGCTAAGCTTACAAGCTCAGTGCCAGACTAATAACTATTATATACTACATGCATTCATTTCATGAACATGCTGACATGCAGAAGTATGAGGATATGAAAGTATTTAATACGCCTTGTTTTGAGCCATTTGAGGAACAATATCGACATTGTTCTTCTAGTACCGATACTTGTGCCCAAAATACTTTGTTTTAAGCATGAAAATATGACCAAACTCTACCCATATGCCCTTATAAGGCCACCAAGCATTATTAATGTCTTATGTGATTTATTAGGGGTTAAAAGGAGTCATATTTCATGCTCGAAAACATCACAAATGAAATCTACCATGACATACTTGAGCATGCTTCATGAACTCAACAAACCAACCATACAGATTTAAGGAACTTAGTGCTAGATTGCTGGAAAACGTCCTAACTTAACCAAGAATCAACTTCTCGTTGTCTTTGGCCTTGGAGCTTTCTACAACGTCTCTCACTAATCATGACAAAGGAAATAAGTTATTAACCATTTAGGAACTTAAGATATGTTTAGGAACATTTCCTAGAACTTAAATCTATAAAAAAAAATGGGATAAAATCTATGGTTTCTTAAACTCTCACTAAACCCCCCATTTAGGGTAACTTAGCTTAATCTTAATTTTGAAGGCTTGAATGGAAGCTAATGAGGAGTAGATTGTAACCCTTGCCATGGTGTTTACAATTTGGACTTGCAAGACCTCAAAATTCCAACCTTTAATTGTTCTTTGGAGGGGAATAAGGAGATGAAGAGGGAAAGATGAAGACAACCTTGTGGGAGAAAAAGAGAAGTTCTCAAGCATGATATCATCCAAATTAATGGGATTCTAGCATTTCAAAAATAAATTGGTGTAATTGCTTCCTAGGTCATATAATTTCAAGCTTATCCCAAAGTCATCCCCTTTTCATACTATTTGGGCTTTAACCAAGCCCAAGTTTATTTAAACTTGGGTTAGGGCTTCACACAAGCTAGTAGACTTTGTCTAAGGTCCTCCCGGGTTAACCCGAAACTCCCAACCCATGATTCAGGGGGTTACAACTATCCCCTCCTAATAAGAAATTTCATCCTTGAAATTTACGTGGATAGAAAACATACAAATACTGGAGCTGCATGTCCTCCTCAGTTTCCCAAGTCACTTCCTCGACCCCATGATTTCTCCACAGAACCTTAACTAAGGGAATTCTCTTGTTCCTCAATTCTTTAATATCCTTGTCTAGGATCATAATGGCTCCTCTTCATAAGTCATGTCTTGACTCACCTCGATCCATTCTAAGAGTGTGACGTGGGAAAGATCGAATAGATATCTTCTAAGCATAGATACATAGAACACGTTGTGTATATGCTCTAACTCTAGGGGTAGGGCTAATCGATAGGCCATTGGTCCATCTCTCTTGAGAATCTCGTATGGTCTTATCAAGCGTGGAGTTAACTTTCCTTTGCGTCCAAACCGCAACACTTTCTTCCATGGATAACCCTTGAGGAACACCTTGTCCCCCATCGTAAACTTTATAACCTTGCGTTTCAGGTCAACATATTTTTTTGTCGGAAGCTTCCTTCAATCGACCTTGATTTATCCAAACCTTCTATTCAATTCCTCAAATTAAGTCTGGGCATGTGATCTTCCCTTCAAAAAGCTCTGTCTAATAAAGAAGAGGTCTATGACGATGTATCTAAGCATGTCCTCTAAGATATGAATAACGCATTTTGATTGACCATATGTCTGAGGGTGGAAAGCAGTACTGAAGTTTAGTTTGGTGCCTAAGGATTCATGAAGAGCTTTCCAGAAACAAAAAGTGAACCGAGGATCACTGTTAGAAATGATGGAAGTTGGTACTCCATGTAACCTCACTATCTCATGGATGTACTACCGAGCTAGCCACTCTAATGTATAATTCATCCTAATGGTCATCAGTAATGTATTGTATCTATGTATGGTCATCAGTAATCTGGTCATAAAGTTCACGGTTACCTTATCACATTTCCACTGAGGTATGTAAATAGGCTGGAGTAACCCTAAGGGAACCTGGTATTCCGCTTTAACCTGTTGGCACACTAAGAACCTAGCGACAAACTCTGACACATTCTTTTTCATGCCCGACTATCAATACAAGTGTCTAAGTTCCTGATATATCTTGTTACTACCTAGGTGGTTTGAACCTTGATCGATCGTAAATCGAGAACTCCTACGGGGTGACATATTAAACTATTTATAAATGGCTTTATCCTAATATCAGAGTTGATACTCGAAGTTCTGAATCAAAATATTTATTTACCCTTTCCAAAATAAAAACAAGTAAAGAAATAATAATAATTTTATTTCAAAAAATTTCATTTTTACCCAAAAAAATAATTTTTGGTTAAAAATTTTATAGTCGAGCTCCACAGTCTGAAGGTTGAATCGGGCTGTAATATCACTAAATGTAATCTCCTAGACCAGACCTAAAAGAAATTAGGTCAAATCTAGGGAGTTCACGTTAAATTTGTCCTTCACATAATCCATATTTGTTTTAAACTTAAAAATAAACATTTAAAACTTAGGAGATTTTTTTATTTTCAAACCTCAATATATATTTTATTAAACATAATTGTTTGAGGAAAATTCGATATTAAAAGCAAATATTTAAAAACATGCACAAACAATCCAAAATGAACTATATGGGACAAATTGAACTTTTATTAAGAGATTTACGGAAGTTAACGGTGAAGACGTATCGATAACGTTAAGAACTTGAACCGGAAATACATATAACGTTAATTTTTAAATTGATGACCAAATTCTATCATACCAAAAACAAAAGAGATTATTCACATAGTTTAACTTGTTTTTTGATAAATAATATTTCACACACATTCTATCAATTTTCTTTTTAAATGGAGAAAGACATAACTAAATAATCAAGTTAATACTCAACAAATTGCTAAAATTACATACGCGCTTAGATCACCATTTTTTAGGATAAATTATAGTAGAGATCACTGAATATGCTCAAATAACTGTTTTAGCATTGAACTTTTAAATATTACAAATAATAATTAAATTTATCAAATTATTATAAAATGATCATTATATTTTATCAAATGTTATAAAATGATCATTGAATTTATCAAACTTTTACACCTATCATAATATGGTAGTAATAATTTTATAAATTTAATGACTATTTTATAACTTTGAAAAGTTAGTAATCAAAACACTTATATAAACATGATTTAATGATCTATGATGTATTTTACAGTTTTTATTTGATTGAACAGCAATTTCCCATTTCCGAGGTTGATTCAGACGAATAATATGTTACAGGCTCTTTATAGCTGAAGCATACAGTACATTTAATACTACTATTACAGGCTCTAGCTGATGCTTTACAAATAATATGTTCCAAAAATTGTTACTACAGAGTTTTGCAACTACAGGTTGAGCTTATCAGCGGATTCCATGGTATCCTTTTTCTGCACTTCACCGTCCTTATTGATTACAATGCCGACCAATTTGTATGGTTCAGCTTCTTCCAGCATTTGAACCACGGTTCTCATGGTGGGTCTAAGTGCGGGCAGCTTGGTCGTACACAAAATGGCGATTTTCAACACCTTGACAGCATCTTCTTTGAAAGCAACAGGGATCCTATGGTCCACTATACTCAAAACACTCTCTTGGTTCTTTAGTTTGCTGCAGATCCAGGACACTATGTCATTATTATCTCCAAACTCTGGTTCGATTGGTCTCTTTCCGCTCACTAGCTCCATTAATACCACTCCGAAACTGTACACATCGCTCTTCTCGTCTACTTTGTAGGTATAACCGTATTCTGCAGAATTCAATATTTGCAATACTGTTAACAAAAACTGAATCTGTAAAGATAATCATAATTAAAGCTTCATTTTGGGAAGTAAACAACTGAAGTTCAACTAGTTACCAGGTGCTATGTAGCCATAGGTGCCTGCAATGACATGGGTTGAGTCTTTACCACCATTGGCTTGAACCATCTTGGCAAGTCCAAAATCAGCAATCCTAGGCTTCAAGAACTCATCCAGCAAAATGTTACTAGATTTGACATCCCGGTGGATCACCGGCCTGTCGCATCCGAGATGAAGGTACTCCAGTCCCTTAGCTGCACCGACTGCAATCTCGTACCTAGTATCCCAATCAAGCTCCATTTTTCGACTCGTATGCAACCGATCCCACAAGCTCCCGTTAGGCAAGTACTCATATACCAATAAGCTCGAGTCTTCACTAGTAATGCTGCAGTAAAGCTTCACCACATTGACATGTCTTATTGAGCTCAGTGTCTGCACCTCCGCGTCAAACTCCTTTTCCTTTCCCGAATGTCGGCCAAGCATCGGGCTACTGCTCCGGCTCTTCCGGCGGCCATGAGAATCTGTGTTCCATAAGTGTTTCACAGCAAGTTCTACACCGTTACCAAGCATTACTTTATAAACGTTCCCGGACCCTCCTTTCCCAATCAGATTCTCTTGCTTTATGGAATCAAGAATTTCATCTTCGGAGAAAGTTAACACATGGAAAGACTTAACATCCCAAGATTCTTCCTTCAATGAACGGTCTCCATCTTTTTCTGTCCTCCTTAAATATAAGAAACACCCAAGAGTAGCCAGCAAGATTGCAGCTACGGCTAAACAAACTATAAGCATTAGAACAAATTTTGGCATGCCGGAATCCGGTGGACATTTCTTGAAAGATTGGATGGTCGAACTGCAAAGGCCGGGGTTTCCAGCCAAGCTCCCGTTATACGCTTCAATGCTGAAGGACTGGGGTACAGGACCAGTTAACCGGTTAGAGGATAGATCAAACAGGCTTAGCATGAGGGAAGACAAACTCTCTGGAATTCTGCCAGAAAGCTCATTTCGAGATAAATCCAGTGTGTTCAATGTCGGCAAAGATCCTAAAGATGATGGTATTTTGCCTGAAAGAGAATTGTTAGCCATGTTTATAGTACTGATGGAAGCACAAGAGCCTAATGACTCTGGTATAGAACCAGATAACTTATTGTTCTGCAATTGAAGGTTGCTCAGCCTTTTCAGTTTCCCAATTCCACGAGGGAATTTCCCCGAAATCTGATTGTTGTTTAGCTCAATTCTAACCAAAGATGTGGCTTCTGAAATCTCTTCGGGTAACTCTCCTGACAACCGATTGTATTCGGCTGACAATATCCCGACCACTTTTGCGTTCTTGATATCAGATGAAATTGGACCTTCAAACTGATTGTAAGCAATGTCAATTATATCCACTTGAGGCAATCCCCATATTCCAGCCGGAACTCTGCCTGAAAGTGAGTTGTTGCTCACTCTAAACCGCTTTAAACTGGCACAATTCGCGTAAGTAGTCGGGATTTCACCAGTGAACCTATTCTGAAGCATAAGCAGCCCTCTCATGGTTCCTTTCTTGCACATATCTGGAGGAATTGGACCGGACAAGAGATTCTCCGATACATCGATGAAGTCGAAATCAGCCCAAGAGCCTAACTTTTGCGGAAGAGAACCAGTGAACATGTTGGTGTAAAGAGACAGATTCACCAGTTTCTTGAACTCACCCAGCTCGGGGGGTACTTGACCAGTAAACTGGTTCTCAAAGAGTTGCAGGCTCACCAGGTTGGTCAAATACTTCACTTCCGAGATATCTCCTTCAAGATTGTTGTTTGAGGCATCGAAATATTCTAGGCTTGTCAAATTTCGTAATCCAACAGGAAGTTTTCCAGTCAATTCATTGCCGTAGAGCTCAAGCTGCCACAGCTTGTGAAGATTTCCAATCTCCGATGGAATTTCTCCAGATAAATAATTCAATTGGAGCTCCAAATTTATAAGCTCGGTGAGATCTCCGATGGCGGGAGGGATCTTCCCTTCGATGCTGCAATTCCCCAAATAAAGCCAATTCAGTTTCTTCAGCTTCAGGATTTCACTTGGAAACTGAGTTTGATCCAAAGGGTTATCCCCGATACTCAAAACAGTAAGATTGGTCATGTTTTCAAGTAAATTCCATGGGAAAGGACCCGAAATTCCACTGCTATTCAAATGAAGGAACCGTAATTCACTGAGCGATGATATATCCGGGAATGAACCGGAGAAAAGATTGTTCCCCAGATCCAAATATTGAAGCTTTGAACAATTATTGAGATCGTCCGTGATTGCACCGTACAATAAATTGTACCCAAAGGAAAGCTTATCCAAGGATTGAAGCTGACATATCGAATCCAAAGGAAGAACTCCCGTCAACCTCTGATTTGAAAGCTGGATTTCCTTAACCGATCCGTCACCGTTGCAGGTGACTCCATTGAAGCTGCAAACAGGACCGGCAGCCTCCCATGAATCGAGAACATCGGTGCTTGATTTATTGAGTGCGGATTTCAACGTCAGCAATACTTGAAGCTCATCGGATTTTACACAGCAAGGGAAGGAGAAACAGAACAAGAGACATAAAGAGAGGAAGAATTTCCGGCAAGTACAGGCCTTTAACATACCGGAGATTTGAAGAAACCGACAAGAAAGAGAAGACTTTATTTTTTTCTTGGAAAGAAGAAAAAGTGAAACAAGGGTGGTCAAGGGAGTGGCATTTAAGAAAGGTGGCGGCTTGGTTTGCGTTCACATTAATCTGCCTTTGCAAAGAAGAAGCACTGTGAAGAAGGAAGGAAGGAAGGAAATGGTCCGTGTCTAGAGACGAAATTTGTCATCATCTTGGACGGAGCTTATTACAGGATCGATAGGGGACAAAAGCACGTTTGTTTGGAACAGAACTGGGTTTTTAGCCTACAGTAAATATTAAGATTAGCTCAAAATTTAGGCTTTTTGACCTAAAAATCATGGTTTGAATTAAATATTATATGTTAATCACTATTTCTGAAATATTACATGATCTAACACTCATTTTTAAGAGAGAGAAAGGGACGCACATCACCAAATGCACCTTAACCAAAAGGGAGAGAAGGCGCGTGCCATGAAACACATATTCTATGGGTATTTTTGAAAGCGCCCCTTAGAGAACGCGCCTCTTGGTTATATCAATTTTCAGTTCATTTAGGGTAGTTTTAGGTTTAAGGTTTATGTTATAATGAGTTTAGAGTTTTGTAATTAGTTTTAAGGTTTTTAGGGGTTTAAGCCTAAGGAAGCACATCTTATAATATAAAACCTTACTTCATATAAATACATAATAAAAAAAAAGAGTCAAATACATAATCAAGAAACAATAAATGAAAAGATTACAATTTTATTAGATCCATCGAGATTACAATATTATTGGATCTATTGATGTCTCCTTGAATGTGTTCCGCGAGGAGGTGGTTGTATAGTTCGAGGAATGTTTCTTTTTATATGCTCCTCATCCTCTTCTTCACTCTCTGTTGAATAATCGGGTAAAGAAAATGAAAGAATACAAGAATTTTAACGAGGTTCAGCAATGTGCTTACGTCCTCGGTGCCCTAGGTAGCGCTAGAATTTTAATTCAATTCAATGTCTCATATGTTTAGGTTACATCTTTTTTTATAATAAATAAACCCCAACCCACTTTACCGGTATATTTATGAGCCATACCTAACAAATCTCCACCTTCGCGAATATCCTGCCCCTTAGGAAACATTTAATGTGGGTTGGGTTACCTTACTTCTTTAACAACTCGAAACATTCAACAAAGTCCAAACAATGCATGAACTTGTCTGTCGTAATTGGCTTGGTGAACATATCAGCGGCATTCTCATCAATATGTACCTTCTGAAACAAAATCTCTCCAGATGCAACCAACTCTCTGATTTTGTGAAACCTTACATCAATATGCTTAGTTCTAGCACGATATACCTGATTCTTAGCCAAGTGAATAGTACTTTGATTTTCACAAAGCAACTTAACTCCACCTTGTTGAACACCCAACTCCTTCACTAAACCAGTAAGCCATAAAGCTTCTTTTACTGCTTCAGCCGCTGCCATGTATTCTTCTTCAATTGTAGATAATACCACAACAGATTGAACAATTGACTTCCAACAAATAGGCCCTCCACAAAGAGTAAAGACATACCCTGTCGTAGATCTTCTATTATCCAAGTCACCCGCATAGTCTGAATCCACATATCCTACAACCAAAGGATTATCCCGCTGACTACCAAAAATAATTCCATGTCCCACAGTACCCTTCAAGTACCTAAAGATCCACTTGACTGCTTCCTAATGTTGTTTACCAGGTTTAGACATGTACTTACAAACTTGACTAACATCATGAGCTAAATCAGGATGAGTACATACCATTGCATACATCAAGCAGCCAACAACATTAGAATACAGAACCTTTGCCATATCTTCAGCTTCCTTATCTGTCTTAGGGCACTGTTCTAATGAGAGATTAAAGTGATTCGCCAATGGAGTGCTCACTGGTTTTGCGCTGTTTATCGCAAACCTTTCTAGCATTTTCTCAACATAACCCCGTTGAGATAGCCACAGTTTCCTTGAGTCTTTGTCCCTGCAAATTTTCATTCTAAGAATTTTCTTTGCAGCACCTAAATCTTTCATATCAAATTCCTAACTCAATAAAGTTTTCAAACCGATAACATCATCAATGTTCTTCACAACAATTAACATATCATCAACATACAATAACATAAAAAATAAAAGAACCATCATCAAGGCTCTTAACATAGACATAACAATCATACTCACATCGCTTGTAGCCAATCTTGATCGTATAGGAGTCAAACCGTTTGTACCATTGTCTCAGAGACTGTTTCAACCCGTACAAAGATTTCTTCAATCTACAAACTAAATGCTCGTTTCCAGGTTGAATGAAACCTTCAAGCTGCTGCATGTTGATCTACTCCTCTAAATCACCATGAAAAAAAGCAGTTTTCACATCCATATGCTCTAAATGCAAATCCCAACTAGCCACCAATGCAAGTACTGCTCGGATTAAAGTGTGCCTAACCACAGGAGAAAAATTTCATCATAATCAACACATTTCTGCTGTGAAAAACCCTTTGCTACCAAACGAGCCTTGGACTTATCCCCCTCTTTTTCTGTTACTGCTGGTTTCTTCTTATACACCCATTTGCAACCAATAGGCTTCTTACCCTCAAGAAGGAGAACTAACTCCCATGTGCGATTGTGATTCAAAGACTCCATCTCCTCAACCATGGCAGTCATCCACTTGTTGTTTTCCTGACTAGTAACAGCATCATGAAAAGTAATCGGATCATCGCTGCTAATAGTAAGTGCAAAAGAGATCAAGTCTTTAAAACCCAATCTATTCGGATGCTTTATATTCGTCTGTCTCACCCTGTCTCTAGCGAGACTATAATCCTGCAAATCATCTGTAGCGAAACCACCAGAAATCGGTTGAGAAGTTTCTGTTTTCTCAACTGAAAACTGCTCGAAATCCACCATTGTCGTGTCTGTCTTCTGCTGCAACATGGGTTGTTCATTAAAAACAACATCTCTACTTATCACAATTTTCTTCGCAACTGGATTCTAGAACTTGAATCCTTTGACACCTTTCTTGTAACCAAGAAAAATGCACTTCTTCGATTTTGCATGAAGTTTGGATATCTCATCAGCAGGTACATGCACATAAGCACGACAACCAAAAATCCGTAAGTGATTAAAAGTAACATCATGACCGGTCCATACCTCTTCTGCAACTTTCCCAACCAATGATGCCCTTGGCGATCTATTGATAAGATAACATGCCATGTTAACAGCCTCAACCCAGAAGTGTTTAGGAAGCCCTGTATTCAACCGCAAACATTTGGCTCTCTCATTCAACGACATGTTCATCCGTTCCACAACACCATTCTGTTGTGGTGTCTTGCGCACTATAAAATGTCTTTTAATCCCATGCTCCTTACAGAAGTTTAGAAACTGTGAATCTGTGTACTCCATACTATTATCAGACCACAAACACTTGATTTTTCATCCTGTTTGATTTTCTACCTCAGCTTGAACTTCTAAAAAACGTCAGACTTCTGTTTCAAAAAATACATCCAAAATTTTCATAAAAAAATCGTCAATAAAAGTAACATAGTACCTAGATCCACCCAAAGGCGATGTCGTGGAAGGCCCCCATACATCAGAATGCACATAATCAAGAATCCCTTCAATTGTGTGCTTCCCAGTCTTAAAACGAATTTTAGTCTATTTACCAAGAACACAATACTTGCAAAAATCGAGCTTACAGCTTTTAACACAGTGCAACAAATTTCTTTTATGTAATTCAACCATACTACGTTCACTAAGATGAGCAAGACTCATATGCCAAAGTTTGGTTGTATTATCACATAACTCAACAGAATGAACTCCACCTACAACGGTACTCCCTAACAATTTGTAAATATTCCCTGCAATCATCTTTCCTTTCATCACAATCAAAGCTCCTTTAAAAATCCGAATGGTTTCCCTATCATTATCAGCCTTAGGGATATCTTGTGCAAAGTGCCCAAAGAAATCAAATTCTTCTTCAAACTTGGGATATGTCGAACACCATACAACGTCCGAACAGAACCATCATACATCTTAATTTTGACATCACAAATACCAACAATATTGTAACATCGATAATTACCCAAATAAACAGAACCAGAATTAACCGACCTGTATGTCAAAAACCATTCCCTATTTGGCGTGATGTGATAAGAACATCCAAAATCAAGAATCCAGGCATATGTCAGTTGAGTCGTTGAAATAGATAGTATATCACCCTCACTGTAATCAGAATTGTCATCCTCGACCATATTCACAGACTTGGATGAGTCATCACGCTTCTCATCAGTCTGATTTTTCAACTTCGGATAGTCTCGCTTCATATGTCTCGCCTCCTTGCACTTATAATAGTGAATTGTCTTATTATCCGTAGATTTGGATCTGAAATTCCGCTTCCCAAACACTGCCTTCTCTGGCTTCCATCCACGGTCTCGATTACCCTTGACATATAAGCTATCAGCTTGAGAGTTTTCCCCTACATTCTGATTATGTTGGTTTTGAGCCAACAAGGCTGCAATAATCTCCTCAACTCTGATAGTCTATTTCCCATATGTAAGAGTAGTCAACATGTGTTTGTAAGAGGGATGAACGAACACAACAGAATCATTGTTTTGTCTTTATTCTCAATTTTCACATCAAGCCGAGCCAAATCAGAAACGATTTGATTGAAGGCATTTACGTGTTGCGCCAAATCATGATCATCCTGCATCTTCAGCACATACAACTACTGCTTTAGATACAGTTTAGTCGTTAAGAATTTGGACATAAAATGACTTTCTAACTTCTTCTAAATTTCATTTGGAGACGATAGATGTATGACGTGATATATGACCTCATCCGTTAAACATAATCGTATGCTTTCTTCCGCTCGCTGCTACAATTCTTCTCAATCTTCCTCCTCCATCGATGCCAGCTTTGTAGGTCGCAAAACCTTCAGGATCCCTTGCTGCGCTAATAGATCCTTCACCCTTGTTTTCCATAATCTGAAGTTACCTTGACCATCGAATTTCGCAACTTTGAATTTGGCTCATGACATCTAATACCAATTGTTGAATAATCGGGTAAAGAAAATGGAAAGAACACAAGACTTTTATCGAGGTTCATCAATGTTCTTACGTCCTCGATGCCCTAGGCGGCACTAGA